GTACCGAGTTGTTTATTTGTCTCCGTCCCATTGTTTTTTTATGGAATATACAAGTCTCTCTTCTAATTGCAGTCAATATTTAAATACTGCATACAATTTATCCTCTCTTTATAATTTATCTAGTGAGTGTTGGTTTTTTATGACATTATTTCTGTAACGAAATTGAAATGGTTATGAAATGAAATTTAAATTATTTGAACTTTTGGGGTTTTGTAACTTCAATATTAAATCTTATTTAAAGTGAAACAGCTAATTTCTTTGCAGCCATAATAGTCACATTTGGTCAGATGAAACACACTACTACCCGCACACTACTCGTCGGTGGTATAGCTTTCAGAGGAGATTCGGTGTCAATGTCAATGGCGATCGTTTAATTGGGCCGCATTTTCTACCTGAACATCTGAATGGGCCGCGTTACTAATTTTTAGTAGAATTGTTTGAAAACCTTCCCCTTCGGGCTTACAGCAAATGTTGTTAAAATATTAAAATTATGATGCTAATAAAAACTGATTTTTGGCAAGGCATGCTCAGACCTCGAGGTTCTTGCTGGGCAACAATAACAATTTAATATGTTGATTGCATAAATAAAAAATAATTTATAGCATTTTAAATTATTATTGGTTGACGTGAGCAAAACCGTTTATTTATTGTCTTTATATGAGCGAAAATATATAAATATGGCAACGTTGCATCTAGGGCGCGTTGTTCATAGGTTCATATCGTAGCCGTGCATAATATTGTGACGTCAGCCGGTCAGTAACAGCCTGAAAAGGGGGTTAAATAATGATTTGAAAATATTTTTTTTCAGCTTAAATATGCATTTAAATTTTTTTTTAATCACGCCATCGTATTATACTCATTTTTCTCTATCTGCTCTTAAAATTAATGACATTATAACTGAATCACCCTGTATATCAAGTACAATATTACTAGAACACAGTGACATGTGTCTAATATTATTAGTTTTTTTATATTTCCAAAGCTAAAAATGGACTGTCATACAAATTAAATTTTTAAATCTGTCGGTAAGTTGCATGACTATTTTGATTTAATATGTAAATAGGGCATAGCTGAGGAAAATAGGTAAAAATGATCAACAATTCTTCGTTGAAATTTTGTCTTTACAAACTTGAAAAAATAATACTGAAATTTTACTTTAACCGCTTAACGTGTTTACCCAAGTTAACATGAGTAAATATATTGTTTCTTTTTTGTTAACTTGAAATAACTTGAGGTTTGGATTTGACCAGTTTTTCAGATAGCAGTTCAGATTCAGAAAACATTTTTGATTTTTCTCTTAGCAGATAATGGTGCACATTTGAGAATATTTCATATCATTACTACTATCTTTTTCTTCTTAAAGCTAATGTAATAAATTTGTTTCTACTATTTTTTGTATGCACGAATTAACGTATACTGAGGGTTGCCTTTTATATTACGGAAATAGAGAACAAAAAAATAAATTAATTATCGTATATAGCTTTATTGTTTTTTAAAATATTATCCATGAAGATCAATACATTTTTGCATGTGCTTGGTATCTAAGCTTAAATTTTATAGAAATTTAATTTCCTGTAAAAATGTCATGTACATTTTGCTGTAAGTCTAGTCATTTATGAGACAAATGTAAAAATCGACAAAAATTTACTTTTAAAATTTTTTAGCAGTGAAACTGTTCAAGTGACCTAGATCCTACTATAGATACTTTCAAAGAACAAAGATTCCCCTATAATTACAATAAATTAATGTGCAATGCAGTTAAAAAGAAACGTATGTTTACGTGTTAAATGAATGGAAAAATTTTAAAATTAAATAGCTACTACCTATTTAAAATTAAAATTGAGAGCTAAAATTTGGTGAGAATTTTTTTTCCAATGTAGAACAACATTTAACCAATGGAGCGAAAAAAATGAAACAAATTTTAATGAAAATAATTTAATGAATATATATATTGTCAAAAATATTAAATACAGTAATGTATAGATAATCGGAAATCCCTATAATCCGAACGGCCAATTGTGTAAAATGCTATCCATAATCCGAACTTTTGCATTCCGTAATTTGAACTAGCATTACATATTTATCTTTGCACGTGCGCACACGTCTGTCCAAGAGCCACTTCATGATCTGATTATTTTAAGAATATTTCGACAGAAGGCTGTCGATCTAAACATCAAGAAATGCGTTCAAAGAACTCTTGACAATTTTGTTTAAAAAAACAATTAAAAGAGTAGAAGTAAATCTTAATTCTTTTTGCTATTGGTTAAATGTTAATCTTATCTTTTGAAATTCCAGTACGTATGCAACATATGTAGGATGTCCCTATTTCTCAGAAATTTGTTTTTATTTTCATTATGTTTGAAATGTATTACATACATATTTTATTTTGAAATATTTGGTAGAGGAATTATGTATATACAGCGTAGGAAAGTACTGATGGTCTATCAGAAGTTACGTGAGAGCGATAAAGTAAGCCATAATAAGAAGTGGATCTTATTTGTGGAAGGGCGAAACGGGTGGTGACTAAGAGACACCTTCATTATAGCCATCCTTCTCTATTGCATGGATTTCTATGGCTTACTTTATCGCTCTCACGTTACTTCAGATAGACCATCGGTACTTTCCTACCCTGTATATGATTAACTAAGGTATCTATAAATCAAACGTGTCTGAATTATAGATATCAATCATTATGAATTCTGTAATCCGAAAGTTTTTTCAGATTATCCCTACATTACTGTAGATAATCAAGATTTTTATGACGTTTGAAAAAGAGTACTCTGTATATAAAAAATCTTAATTATTTATAGTTATGCAGCAGTATATAAAAAAGTTTTTCAATATTTACTAAATGGAGAAACAGATAATTGAAAGAATATTAATATTTTTGGTCATTAATATAGATATTATTTTCACTACAGTGCATATAGTATTAATTATTCAATCAGTATGTTTTGACATACATCAATTTGTGAAACTCCAATACATACCCTAGTAAAAAAAAACTGAACCACAATCATAAGTTTATAAAATAAATATTCAAGAACCATTCTGCAGTTCTGAATAACTTTTTTAAACGATATTAATTAGTTTTAATAGAATTGCATGTTGCTGTAGCTTAATCGCAGATGCTTTACGCTTTAAAAAACTTCTTTAATATTACATAATGTAAATACTATACATAATCTAAATTAATTTTTGCATGTTTCATTCGCTACAGCTTAAATCCTTTAAAATATTACATTAATTTCGCTTTTATATAACAAGGCTATTTTATAATGCATGACCACAACATACAAAACAAATGTATTTAAACTAATTTATTTTATTTTATAGCTATTAGGTCTGGAGACTACTATATGTTTGATGACTTTGAGGATGATGAGATAGATCTCCTTCCTCAGGAATCCCTCGATCGAGAAAGTCGACTTGGTGAAAAACCAAATATTAGTGAGGTGGGTATTATGTTTTAATTAAATTTGCATTTTTTTTTGTAGAAAAAATATTTTATGAAAGCACTAGAATGTAATATAATATTTTGTATTAAAAACGTACACATGTTAAATTGTTCAAAATAATAAGATGTTTAAAAAAGAAAAATGTTCTCTAGTAAGGTTTTTCATTTAGAGAAACCGGATAATTTGTTGATGTGTTCAAATTTATTTTATCAAATTAGTAACAATGTGGATTTATAGTTAATAAGTACTGCAATGAAGACAGATGTTGGTACTGCCATACGAAGACATTCGCAATTGGAATTAAAAAGGCAATATAGCATGCCATTATCGCGACAAAAATCTGCTCGGTCACAACTATCAGCAGCATTTTCTGCTCCTCCCACAGTGAGTTACTTATAGTGTAAAAAACGATGACGTGTTGTATACCACTAGCACTTCTTTATTATTTGCTTAATTATTAGCTTTATTTCCTTTTTAAAAGCACATACCAGGATTACACTTTTATAGATATGTACATAAATAGGTTCCTTGGACAGACAAAGGCAGTCTTTTTGAACTCCATCATAATAGCTCTATTTTTGTGTAGAATATTTTTATCTTCCTATGTCTCTGACACAACCGATCACTACCTGAGTTGGAAATATAATGTATAGGGTATTTCAGAGTAATTAACTGTAAATTCTAGAGTCAACAGAATATTAAAGATTAAGAATAATATTCAAATATCATGCACAAAAAAATTAAATAAGGTCGGTATATATTTCTATGGTCACAGTATTATACCTAACATGTGTTTAATGTCTCCACGTGATACAGAAAATTAAACAGAATCAAAACATTGAATTTCTTTACTAACAATCAAATAGTTAGTAGCCTTTCAGTTCTGTCCTAAATTGACAGTAATTTCATAACATGTGAACATGCCCTTAGGTATTCTGTACTATTTTTTATTTTATTGTATTACCGACTATCATTTTATAGGTAATTTTATATACCTTTCCTTTACATGTTTATGAGTATAAATATAATTTGTTCAGTGGAGTCAAAAGAAAAAAATTAAATTAAATTTTCAAAATATGCTATAAGACATAATATTCTGTTCCTCTTTAATTCTTTAATCTTTATTAGAAACCAACTGAATACAGTGAATGTGCTTGGTTTTAATTTCACAAATTAAAAATCATGATTTCAATGGCAATGTTAACTATTCATACTAAATAAAGTATAATTACTTTAAGTTCATTGAGAACAGAATCTAATGTTCAAGTAAATTAGTAGTAAATTCAAAATTTTAAAATGATTTGCGAAGGGTTTTAAAATTAACATATTAATCATGCATCTCTCATACCTACCTACTTTATTCTAAACTTATCACACAGTTTGTATTTCAAAACTTTCAGTATGTATTGCCATCTGCGAAGGGCTGCAGGCCCCTCTATTCAATTATTCAGATATTCAATTAAATTATCTATTCAATTAGTCACATTATGATATATCTATTTCCATGGAGAGTGGGCTAAAAACTAGCATTCCACTGCACTTTCTAATTTAGTTCTTACCTTATAACCAATGGTCTAGTTAAGCTAGAGAGTTTTCAGTAGTATCAAAATATTAAGCTTTTAGATGCCTTTATTAGTTCAAATGTTATGACAGGTTAACTTGCGTTGTGATTGTATAAAAAAATGTTTTTAATTTTCACATATAAAGTGGTCTTTCATAACCAAAGAAAATGACAAAATGTTCTACTTTTCATAGCTAATTACAAATAGTATTTTGCTTATCAACAATTACGCTGATTTTAATTATTTAAATTTAAAACTTTTAATCAACTTAATGAACTATGAGAAATAAAATTGTATGTAACTTGATTTAATACAAAAATATTTTTTATGCAAAATTTTTATACATATTTCGACGCTTTATTTTAATTATATATTTATAATAAACTTATATAATATATTTTTAAAAAAGTAAGGAATGTTTATGGTCAGATACACTGTTTATTTTATTTTTTTATTCAACATTTTTCAATTAATTTTGTGAAGTTACATTGTTATAAACGACAAAATTGTTAATTAAAAATATAGAATAATATGCAGTATGCTGCAACATGTACATTACTCGACGTTTTTTTGAAATAACAAATTATAAAAAAAATGGTGTATGCCTTAATATATAAAAATTTTATTATTACTAAAAATTATTCGATTTTTTTCATACAAGTTTGCTTTGATATAAAAATTAATAGCGCACTCTTACCTGATTTATAGTCATTACTCTTACTTTTGTTAATAGAGTTAACATAATATCCAAAATATAAATATAATGTATAAAGCTGAATGATATGTATACATATATCGATGCGATGGGCATGATTTGCACGTGCACATTTCCGCGGTTCCCCATGCACACATGTTTATCATCAGCAGATCATAAAGTACCGGTAATAAAAGTGTCGCATACCTGCATTTAATTTCCAAAGTCTATGCAAGCACATGACTACCGTACCCTTAAGAAGCCATTTGTTTTTATTGAGGTGCAGTAAGAACGATTCGGACCCGGAGTTTGAGGCTTAGCCTGGTCCACTATATAATTCTTTTTATAGCAGTCTGCTTAAGCATACAAAATTATTTTCAGAATAAATTGTGCATCCCAGATTTTGTGAAAAAGAAAAATAAGTGGATCAAGAGTAGCGACTATAAATCAGATAAGAGTACGCTATTAATTTTGATATCAAAGCAAACTTGTATGAATAAAATCGAAAAATTTTTAGTAATAACAAACAGTTTTATATATTAAGTATTAAGGTATACACTATTTTTTTTATAATTTGTTATTTCAAAAAACGTCGAGTAATGTACGTGTTGCAGCATACTGCATATTATTCTATTTTTTTAATTAACAATTTTGTCATTTATAACAGTAACTTAACAAAATTAATTGCAAAATGTTGAATAAAAAAAAATAAAATAAACAAGTGTACCTGAACATAAACATTCTTTACTCCTCAAAATAGCCATCAACCACAGACTCCACCTCTTCATTGTTGACAAATCTTTTACCACCGACCCATTTGTACAAGTTTGAATAGAGAATATAATCCAAGGGGGCTAAATCTGGCGAATAAGGTGTATGAAAAAACAATTCAAACTTTAACTCATCGAACAGGTGCATTGTCTTGATTAAATAACACTTTCTTTTTCACCAAATGTGGCTGTTTTTTTTTGTCACTTGAACTCTGCAATAAGTTTGCATAATACTTACCGCTAATTGTTTTTTATTTTTGAAGATGATCAATGAAAATTGTTCCACAAGCATCCCAAAAAATTGGTGCCATGACCTCACCTGCAGATGGAACTGTATTTGCCTTCTTTAGAGTAGATTCTCACTTTTCAGTCCATTGTTTGGACTGTTCTTTTGTCTCAGGTGTGAAATGATGGTACCATGTTTCATCCATGGTTATGAATCGACACAAAGACTGGGCTTTATTGCTGTGAAACATCATCAAAAACTTGATTGCCTGCCTTTTTAAAATGCCTGACATGTCTGTTAGCTCGCTCCCCTTTAGTCAACGCCCAACGATCATCCAATATTTTTCTGTGAATTTTATCCGCCATTTCTGGTGTGATCAACTCATTTAATCGACCACTGTGATGTTCGTCTTGGTAGCTCGTATGGCTTCATTTAAACTCAGCCACCCAACATTTTATCATTGTTGTAAACAAAGAAACAGACTCTCCCGGAGTAGAATTCAGCTTGGCTTTGATATTGATTGGTCAGAGACCTTGCAAATGTATCAATCACATAATGATTCTGTGTTTACAAATTCACTGAGAGCATTCACTACTGATGGCTGCCAAACAAATACTAAACAATATAGCGGCTTCAAACTTAAACTTTATAAGATTGGTACTTTCTATTCTAGTAATTTTTTTCACACAACAACCACCACCATCATATGTCAAGACGGATACTTTTGGTACTACTCTCGTATATATACCGAGTGCCCAGAAATAAGTGCCATAATTTTAAACATATATTTAATTTTCAAAAGCAACAACTTTTGTCTAATATGATTTTTCAAAATTGCACATTTTTCTGAGGCATTTCATACCCATTAAAATAACGCTAATGAACTACCTATGAATTAAATAAATATCTAAGTAACATATATATGAATGTTTTATGGACCCCATTTTCTTAAAATTTTTTGCAAGTCTAGATACTATTTCCCATTTTTGTGCTTTTTTCTGTCTATTAGTAACTTAACTAAACGTTTTACTTATGCTCCAGTGGAAGGTAACAAATATACCAAATTTAAATAAATGGTTCTTAAAAACCAAGGGAGATTTTGAAGTAAATTAGACAAAAAGTTGTTGCTTTTGATGAGTTAAATGTGTGGCAAAATGTTGGCACTTATTTCTGGAACACCCTGGATGCAGCAATACAATACAACACATTTGTTTCAATGCCCATTGTACTGATTCAGATTTTGTATAAAATTGAAGTGATTTATTAGTGGTAACTGATAAAAACGTAATACATTAAAAAGTTTTTACTTAAGTATACTTACATATAGTGTGTAATACATTAGGAGATTTTCTACAACTTGTGTAATATTTCAAACTGGTTACATAAATAATTATTTAATATAAAATAAATAGCAATGTAATTTTTCTTTTTTGGTAATAGCAAAACAGTGATTCTGCAGTAAGCTATTATCATTATTCACTGAATTAGTTGATATCCAAAATTAACAGTTTCTCTCAGTATAACATTTAAATTACTGATATTTGCGAAACATTCTGTCAGAGTATTTCAAAGATTTGCATTAAAAAAACAAATACAATTTTGATATGTGTATGCATTTAATTTTTTTCAAATTCTTTAATTTAATTATCAATTTTTTAGATTTGGCTGATTTTTTTTCAGTAATATTTGCTAATTATTGTTTTAATTTACACTGGATCTATCTCTTTGTGACATTTTCATATTATTAGTTTGAAATTGCTTCTGTATATAAGTATAACTTATCATCTTCACAAAATTGTCAAATGTAAGAGAGATCACTCTAAATGTTCTTAAAATTGTTACAATGATAGACACTTTTTTTAAAACAATTTTTATTATTTTTAACTTTTCCACATAGATCGAGGAACACGAACCAAGAAGTGTGCGCATTCGAGAACTTCCAAAAGACGACGATCCACAACCAGGTACTAGCAAAGATGAAGATATCAGTGAATTAACAGAACCTAGTGAGTAATATTGTTTAGTGACGAGCAAAAAGTACTCATCATATGGGAAACATTTTTTTTATTAGACTTTGGTATAGACAGTATCGTTTCTGTGTAATTAGACAATTCGTCAAACAGTGCTGTTTGTCTTTATATATCTAGCAAAAAAAAAAAAATAATGTCTCAAAAGCAACCTTGTATAAACAGGTATTGCAAAGTGTTATTAAAGAAAGTTGTTTAGAATTAAATTTTGAAGTTATATATAAATTTTGGAAGTGATTGATAGATGTAAATGAATTACCATTTTTTTTATATTTTCAGTTTTTAAGATTTGCATCTGCAGTGCTCAGTTTACTTAATAAATACCAGAGTCCCACGTGATTAAATTTATAATAGATGTTCAAAATGATCACCTTCATTTTCCAAACATAAATTTACTCTGCATTTCATGCCTTCAAAAACGGGTTCAAGTTCATTTGGTGTCATAATGTTTATTTCATGTTCAATTGCTGTTGCCAGCTGTTCAAATGTGTGGAGAGGATGTTTAAATATCTTGTTTCTGATATGGCCAAACATAAAAATTTAAATTCAATAAAATCATGCAGATTTTTGTAGCGCAAGTTCTATAATTCTCACTTTTTACATAATCAGATAAATGTACCTATGTCTTTACAATTATCGTTTAAATGTTCATTATCGATAATATCGTACTCGTTGGTTGTGTTGTGATCAGGAGGACATAACAACATGAACCTTTTAGGGATGCATATGCAGCTGCTTCTTTAATGCGTTGTGACAAGTCCCAACTGATACACCTACGGACATATCAATATAATATGTGCAGTTACTTCTTGTAAATACACAAATTAAGAAGCATAAAGCTGTAAGATTTTATGCTGATAAAAAATACATTCTAAAGAATAGTAATATCATACAAATTTTGTAAATTGTTTATTAACCATTTTTCAACTTTACCTTTTGGGTTAAAAAATGTACATAATTCAAACTGTATTAAGTTTATCACAGTACCTGTTTGAGTAGATCACTATGAAACAGGTTTCTTCGGACTTTTCACCACTAAATGTCTTCAACAACATTTTCTGTTGAAACAGTAGGTTTGCTTGTCAATTTGCCCTTGTAAATGCAATATTTTCCCTTATATCTTTTAATAAGGCTTCAAAAAATTGTTCCATACATGATTGCAAAGAGTAAGACCAAGTTCCATCTGCGTGTCTTGTTCCGGTCTAAACGGCATTTTTATACAAATTTACGAGAAATAAGAATCTAATAAATGAACATAATCTTAGGGTATTCGTTTAACTTACGGAAAAAATTTCCAATTTTTGGAGTTCTGATAAGATCAATTTTTTTTTAACTCAACAGACAGATTAATTTGTAGAAAGGCACCACAGAAATACTGATAAATGATGCTAAATTATACAATCAACAGACATAAAAACATGAAAAATTACAAGTGCCTCTGGATTAACGTTTCATCTAGGGTCTTAATTGGTAATTTTTCCTTCATAATTTCGAAATACCAACTTAAGAAAATCAAATTTCTTAAGCGCCAAAACAAATTTGGTCATGTGGGACTCGGGCATTTATGAAGGTACTGTACTTTTTAATATAACAGTTAAATGCAAAGTAAATTTGAGATTTTTATTGTTTAAAAAAATTTGGTTTTTTAAACCACATTACTTGACCAACATTTCTTAACCATCTGATTAATTTTATAGAAAGAAAAGTAAAGAGTTAAACTATTGAAAATATTATTAACTACGTTTTTAAAAATATTATTGGGAGGCTAAAATAGTACACTTAATGAAAAAATTTATTCTGGATAATAAATTTAACAATATAAATGTATAAAAAATGTAAACCTTTTTTCGGTTGTGTCATTAAATGATATTGGTGACAGCTCGGCACTGCAGATGACTGGTTTGGATGCGATTTTCAGAATGCGAAGCAAATATTTTTTAAAAAATTGTAGAAGATTCAACATTTTTAGAATTTCCTTTCAAAATATATAAAAATATTTCATGTTTCTTAATTTTTAAAACAATACATAAATTCTCGGATCCTCTTTTGTTCTTATTTGAAATTTCTTGTAAAGTTGTTTATTTAAATCTTGAAGTTTTATTGGAAAGTTGCAATATTGCAATAATGTAACAAAGACTACAAAATGATTATTGTCAGGGTCGGACTAACCTGTGGTGAGACCCAGAGGCTAGGGTTTGCAATCCCGCAGTCTTTTTTTTCCAGCTGGAAATTTGCGGTAAATTCGCCTTTACAGCGGGATCCCGCTGTAATTCCCGCGAGAGATTTAAAAATATATTTATATATGAAAATAATAATGCTATTATTGTGGAATGTTTATTTTTAATCAAATGAAATATAAATAATTCTTGGTATTTAAAAATCAACAGATAAGCATTATATAGATTAAAAACTATGTTTATTAACTAAGAATCAACAGAAATCAACACATCAATAATATAATACTTTTGTTATTTTTACATAGATATTATTATGTCTCTAGTTACTTAACGTACTTGTTGCTGTTAAATTACTAAATTTATAAACTTCTAGGTTAAGTTAGTAATTTAATTGTAGTAACAATTTCTAAAAAAATATTTGCTAGATACATCGATAATATACTTCGGAATATGACAGTTTAGAGAAAATTGCAAAGAGATATTAGGCATACTTCATTTGGCTGTCATTCATTTACTAATTAAGGTAATAACTTGATTCTTTCGGTAACGGCAAACGAAAAACAAATATTTTTTAATGTATTTGAAGAATGTTAGAAAACTGCAATTTCAATAAAAACAGCGTCGAAAATATTGTTTTGTCTTAATAAATTTAAGATTTTGCTAGGTAAAAATGCCGTATGTGCAGTATGTGCTACATTTTCAACAGAAATTAATAGAAGAACCAAAACATGTACATCCTATACATGATATTTTGAATGTTCTTACAGGGTTTTTTACTAATTTTTAATATTAATAATATTCAACGCTTCTGCTAGAGAAGAAAGCCGTATGTGGTCACATGCGGCGTTTATACTATGTACCTCTTAATGAAATAGATGTACATAAATCTGCTAAGTGACAATAATAGAAATTTAAAATGTACAAATTTTTAAATTAAAAGAAACAAAAACGATATTTTTGATATTTGTAGATGGGTCACAAAACTGCATATACGGTCTTTTAACTATTAGTTATATATAAAATTTTACTTTGTAAACACTTTTTTTCTCGAAAATAAATAAACGAATCAAGGAATTTGTTTGAATGATGCAAAGATCTGCCGATTTTAATCATTTCTTTCGCTCGATTGATCGATGCTATCACAGGGGAACGGGATGCGCACGCAAACCAAACAGGGCGCTCGCTACACGCTATTCAAAAATTTCCCGCGCGGGAATTACCGCACAAATGCGGGAATTCCGCAGGTCTCATTGACATGCGGGAAATTGCTGGAATGCTGTAAAGCGGAATGCGGGATTGCAAACCCTACCAGAGGCTACAAGCTCTGCGGAGGCCATTTTTCTAATAAAAAAAAACCTAAACACGGTTTGGTTTAATTCTACGACCCAGGGTTATAGCCTTGTAACATTAAAATTTTTCTGTTGCAGAAGTCACAATTCGTAGGAAGATAATAAATGCATTATTATTTGTATGGGCATTTATTGAAAGTGCAATGATTAGTTTAACCAATTTTCTGAACAGTTACTCTCGAAGTTACAGATATGTACTAAAAGTATTGGCAGAAGAGAAAAAAAATTTAAAGGTAAATAATTACTTAAATCATTATGTTGTTACAATGTCTTTTTAATTTAAGGAAAAAACAAATTATAGTATTGGACTCAGACTAGGCTCTACACAAGTGTGGCAACCTGCTGGATCATACCATACACTTTTACAACAATCACAGTATGTAGTAGTCCTTAATTAATTTTCTATGATTACATTTTAAGCTCAAATAGTTTTTAGTAGTAGTTTGTAGACAATAGTTATTTTTATTATCCAGTGAAGGATCACCAGTGTTTTCAATCTCCACTGCAGGAATTTTCAATCCATCAGATTCTTATAGAATAGCATTGGTTGCCGAAAGGTGTGTGATATTTTTGTTTGACTATTATTTTCTTCTCTGTACGTTCTTGTAACTATTTTTAATTATGGAAGCCAGAGATAAATATTGCTAGATCTTCCCATTTTCTTTTATTTTATTAAAATATTCTCGATAACTTCATAAAACAATACCTTCATTTATCAACATTCTGAAACTTACTTAGTGTCATAAATAACTTGTGATGCTTTGATTTAGGATGGCCTCAGTCCAAAACAGTGAAAGTGAGGAGAAACCTCCAAATAGTGAAGAAAGTGATACAAAAGCACTGGCTATGGCTTTACCTTATTCTTCTGACCTGGAGAGGTATAAATATTAAACCTTCAGCCACATTTTTATTTCCCACCAGACAGTGATATATAAAAAATTTCACAAAGGTGTTTAAACAGCTTCTTGCAATAATCCTGTTATTAATCTTTTAATTCCTTTATTGAGTGGTTAAGGATAAGAGAGATTTACGAAACACATAATCATATTTTATTATTCTCGTTTATACTGTAAAAAAGAAACGCTGGTCTACTATTCAATACTACTTTACATTATAGTGATTATTATTATGATTCATAGCTGAAATATGAAGTAGGTACCTTCGGAATTGATTTTTGGTTAAAACATTAATTGACTTGTACGGTAATTATCTCAGATTAACTAGTATTCCTCAATATGATAAAGTAATTAAAATTTATAATGGTTACTGTTTGCAAGAAGTTGTATTGGAATAAATTTAATATAATTAAACATTTCTTTTAATCCATTTATAAATTTATAATGGAATAACATTGGTATTTTGTAAAACTGTATTAAAAGAAATGTTGGAATGACTGCCAGTAGTAAAGTAGTCTGGCTGTTATGCCTGTATATGTTGGCTGTAGGCGCAAGGCGAGTGTACTCACGGTTCCTGAAATTCGTATTCTGGCTCCAAGTTTGGAACGTGGACTAGACTCTCCATGTTCTTCAAGGTAAAAGGCACCAAGCTAAGATGTCGTGTGCTTTTGGCTTTGTTTATATATCTTCACATTGTTAAGCTTTTTTCAGTTCACAAAGTCCACACTCGTTTCAGATTTAATTGCAAGGTTTTTTTTTTTAAGTCTCGTATTGTGCTATTTTATATAATGTCTCTTATAAATTATATATTTCTGTATTAAAGAAACTTATTTTCATTGTATATACAGGCTGCTACAAATTCACTTATCACTACAGGGATCTCGGAAATGGTAAGAGATACGAAGTAGCTTAAATGGGGGCAAAGTTGCATAATCAGGGGACTAACATTCTGTCTCTAAAAAATCAAGGCTAACACGTAGTTTTCGAAATATTTGAAAAAAAAAACGAAATTTTGGAAATCCGTTTTTGTTTTATTTCAGCCTTGTTTGAGGTGATATAGAAAAAAGAAGAACACTTTTTCATGGCAACTTTTTGCCCTCTATCGAATGGCATAATCAATTTTTATATGTAACGCTTTGTCTCTCCAGGACCATCATCAACTTAATTTTTTTAAATACGACCCTGGATATTTTACTATATTTTTTGCAAGCCTTCATGTCCCCCAATACTGTACTGTCTCAGCCCGAATCAGATTCAGATGTTTTGTCTTGAAAAATTCATCTTCAATGTATTCGAGCCAAATTTATCTAAATTTATTTAGATTTCTGATTATTGAATTATCATACACTCTAAGTGTCATTAGACCCTGTGCGATCCACCTAGTTACTTAAACTATTACCATCACACGTTACCATAAAATTATATTAGAGTTTTAATCTCCATCACCTGGTCATACATAATTTGATGTTGTTGCGTCAAAATTAAAACATTACAATTTTAATTTCATTATGACAATTTAATTCTTAAAAATGCATATGAACAACCAAAACTCCAAACAAATATTATACTTAAAAAACTACAGTAAATGTTCAAAAACGTTTCCATTTTGGCAATTGTTGAAAATGAAGATAAGTGTATTATGATCGGAATTTATTATATCTGTAACCACAACTGCGAAAGAGCATGTCATGTATTTGTATGAATATCCTGAAAAAAATTAGATCGAAATTTGTTTAAATTTTGAGCACTCGAGAAACCTAGAAAAACTATAAGCACGGGATTAAAACTAATAATGTTTTATTGTAACGTGTGATGGTAATAGTTTAAGTAACTAAGTGGATCTCACAGGGCCTAATGACACTTAGAGTGTACGATAATTCAATACTCAGAAATCTAAATAAAAAATTTAGATGAATTTGGCTTGAATACATTGAAGATGAATTTTTTGAGACAAAACGTCTGAATCTTGTTCGGGCTGAGACAGTAGAGTATTGGGGGACATGAAGGCTTGCAAAAAATATAGTAAAATATCCAGGGTCGTATTTAAAAAAATGAAGTTGATGATGGTCCTGGAGAGACAAAGCATTACATATAAAAATTGATTATGCCATTCGATAGAGGGCAAAATGTTGCCATGAAAAAGTGTTCTTCTTTTTTCTATATCACCTCAAACAAGGCTGAAATAAAACAAAAACGGATTTCCAAAATTTCAGTTTTTTTTTCTTCAAATATTTCGAAAACTAAATATGTTAGCCTTGATCTTTTAGAGGCATAATGTTGGGCTCCTGATTATGCAACTTTGCCCCCATTTAAGCTACTTCGTATCTCTTACCGTTTGTGAGATCCTTGTAGTGAGAAGCGAATTTGTAATAGCCTGTATAGTGTCCCAAAAGGAATGGAGGATTTGAAAAGTGCACCGTTTTAATCCCGAAGAGTTCACAGCATTGTACAGGATTATATCTTGTAGTAACCGCGTTGCGTTCATACAAAATGGAGCTCTATGCGACAGATAAGCTAGTGAAAATTGTGAAAATTCATTACAATTGCGGAGAGTGTATAGCTGAGACTGTGCGAAAATTATGTAGAATTTTCTGTAGAAGGAAAAACTCATATGAAACAACTGTGAAAAGATTAGTTGCCAAATTTGAACAAACTGGTTTTGTTGCAAACAATAAAAAAACAGGCCGGTCTCATACTGGTCGTTCAGCCCAAAATATTTCTACGATGAGTGATAGTCGCGGAAATTTCCGTAACCTCAGTGCGCCATCGGTCACTGCAATTAAACATGTCAAAAAGTACAATGCAGTAGATTTTAACAAAAGATCTGCATCTGCATCCATTCAAAATTCAGCTAACCCAGGAATTGAAACCAGCCAACCATTTCATGCGCCGGACATTCGTTGATAGACATTTTATCTAACCATGTTTACTACAACGTGTGACTCTGCACAATGTTACCAAGTCTTTGGAACGAAAATGGCACACAATTCACATCCTGCATTACTTTTGGGACACATTTTATGTATTACTTCTTGTGTGGATAATTTTGCACAATTGTGATTATATATATATATATATATGAAGATATGACACATATATATATATAAAGATATGACACATCTCAAACAAATGTTCTTTTTCGTATTTTCATAGGTCATGGATTCTTATACTTAAATAAATACATAATTATTAAGTCAAGTACCTTTTTAAGTTGTTTTTAAATATACTAAAGGATTTGAATACTTATAAATTTATATACAGGCTATTACAAATTTGCTTCTCACTACAGGGATCTCGGAAACGGTAAGAGATACGAACTAGCTTAAATGGGGGCAAAGTTGCATAATCAGGGGACCAACATTATGCCTCTAAAAAATCAAAGCTAACACGATTAGTTTTCAAAATATTTGAAAAAAACCGAAATTTTGGAAAACCATTTTTGTTTCATTTCAGCCATTTCATTTGAGGTGATATTGAAAAAAGAAGAACACTTTCTCATGGCAACTTTTTGCCCTCTAACAAGTGGCATAATCAGTTTTTATATGTAACATTTCGTCTCTCCAGGACCATCATCTTCATTTTTTTAAATATGACCCTGGAAATTTTATTTATATATCTATCAGTTTGCAAAAGGAAGCTCATATATTGATATTTACACTTTAATTATATGTGGAAACGTAGAAATGTTGTATGTTCAGAGAATGAATTTTAGACACTTACCGTCCATTGCTCACATAAAGTGTAATCCAGGTGTTGGCTGTACAGGGAACACTGTCACCCAATGGGACACATAATTTAGAAGGAACAAAAAAAAACACCAGAACTTCCAAGGAAGGTTTTTTAATAACAGTAAAAAGTAAAACAAACAAAGCAACGACGACACAGCAGATTCAAACAAGCAATTTATATGCAACAACGTATTCCGAGATCCGAGATTGAAATAAGATATTAACTATGACTAAATTAACCCCGAGATTCTACCGCTAAATAGACTGCGCAGGCGATATATTTGTACTTGAAAATAGAGTCAAAAGCAGTTTGATTTGAATTCCTAGCTGCTCCTGTTGGTAAGATATTCAAATTTTTGTTTTTTTTTATAGGAAAATTTTAATTTTATGGTATATTACAATACGTAAGAATTACAATGCTTAAAAACATCCTTACACACACACACACACGCACACGCGCACACTAAAAAACGAAAAATTTGAATATCTTACAAACAGGAGCAGCTAGGATTTCCATTCAAACTGATTTTGAGTCTATTTTTAAGTACAAATACATCGCCGCTTTCAGTTTTTGTCGTCATTTTTATGCGATATAAAGTTTCTTCCTGCCCACCGTGTGCACACTTTTCGGAGATTTCCCTAGATTTCGCTCCGCCCCGCTTCGACCCATCCATTTTGAGTTCACAAGTTGTTGTTATTATCTCGGCCCCTCACCTACTCTCCTGAACATCGGGAACGTTCCAGAGAGTATTTTACCATATCAGGTTAATAATTATTTAATAAACTAAATTTACATTTATATAAATAATTCTGTGACCAGACTGAATTTACGTATAGCAAGCGGGACGAAGATAAACTGGTCAATCTTATTCTATTGTCTTATAGCTGGAAAAAGCTTATCCATACAAAAAAACAGTTTTAAAATATTCATTTTTTTCCTTCTGCCCTGCTAGCATGGCACCTGATAGCTGCGACTCTTATCGGCCACATGCCAATAACATTTTGATGAAGTTAACTTTATGCTTGTTCTAATTACCGGTTTTGTAAATTTATTTCTTGCGACAACGGTTTGCAAATGACCCTCTCAATGAACAGACTTACTTAAAACCCTTTCTGTCCATGGTTGTTTCTTTGGCCTAATAGAACTATCGGGTCCCAATCGTTCTGAAAATCAGCCAAGAAATTATGCACTTTTGGCTTTTTTTTACAATATTATCTCAGATATAAAACAAAAATAAAGCATGACAAAATATATAATATGCATTTATACAAGTCGGTGCACACTGAACAAAAATTAGAAAACAGATTCATTTGAACATAAACCCACAAAAGCCTAATGAGTGGTAGATTTTAACTATATTTTTCCTTACTTATTCTCATTTATTTGGTACATTAAACACTTTCTTGGGGACTAATGTAATGTACGAATTACTGTTTGAAATGTATTAAAGGGTGATATTTTTTTTACTACTAAAATCCCTTAATTTTTTTTGCAATAGCCCTTACTCTTGTTTTGGAAAAAGAAAACTACACCGTTTTTATCTTCTATCTTCTTTATCTCCATTCTTTTAAATCTTTAATTGTTTTTAATATCAGAATGTGAATAGGCACACTTTCCATTTTTTGTGGTTTGTAGATTCACTTTAAGTACAGCTATAATAAAATAATTTCAACCTTGGTGACTTATCTGTGATTATTACCATTGCTATCTATTCATCTACATATATGTAAAACAAATGTATTTAACTTACTATCCAACACAGGCAAGTCCTATTCCAAGATAGTGAATGATTTGTGTAATTATTTACTTAAAATAAAAAAGGTACCTAATAAATAAAAGCAATAATAAAAAAATATATACAAATGAGAACAACTGTATTGCTGTCTTAAAAGTGAAATGTTCCTTT